GTGTGTGTGTATAATATAGTATATATATAATTATAAATAATAATATATATATAATAATATATTATTATTAGTATATATAATAATATAAATAAATAATGTTATATAATAATATATAAGATATAATAAATATCAATTATACAACAACATATATAATACATATAATATATATATATATAGGATAATAATACAATATATAATCTATACCAAAATATATATAATATATAAATAATAACACCAAACACACAAACTAAAATATAAACACAAACAAAAACACTTGTATATATCTCATGTATTCATTTTATATGTATATATATATATATATATATATTATATATATATATATATATATATATATATATATATATATATATATATATATATCTCCTCTTATATCTTTTTCTTTCTTTCCTCCTCCCTCTCTCTATATATAGATCATCATCTGTCTATGTCTCTCTGTTTCTCTCTTCCTTCCTCGTCTTTCCCTCTCAATCTTTCTCCTTCCTCCCTCTTTCTCTTTCTCTCAGTCTATCTATCTTACTACCTCCCTCTCTCTCCTAATCTCTATATATGTATTTCTATATTTCTCAGTTTCTCTTTCTTTTTGTCTTTTCCTTCTTTCCTTTCCTACTCTATATATCTCTATTTCTATATTTCACAGTTTCTCTCTCTTCCTCCTTCTCATACCCCTTTCTCTCTCTCACTCTATCTATCTCTCCATCTATTTCTTTTTCTCTATTTTATTTGTCGCGATCTCTCCCCTTTCTTTTTTTTTTTTTTTCTTTCTCTATATCCGTCCCCTCCTCTCTTTCTCTCTTTCTTTCTCCTTCCATTCCTCCTCCTCCACTCTCTCTTATATCCCCTCGCTTCCTCCTCCTCCACTCTCTCTCCCTTCCCTCTTCCAGGCCCAATGACCCCAAACACTTCCCTCAGTCCTCCTTCCTTCTTTTCACCGCTACGCCTGAGCGAAGAGGCAGGTGTAGCGGTGTGAGCGGGAGGCGTCGGAGGTGCTTTGTGGCGTAGCGGTAGCGGGCGGTGCTGGAGGAGGTGGATGGCGTCGCGGTAGCGGGCGGGGAAGAAGACGTAGCGATCCTGGCGTAGCGGTGTTGGTGAAGTGCGTAGCGGGAGAGATGCGAGCGGCCTGGCGGCGGTGTGGGCGGGGTCGAGGGCTGGCGGAGAGTCGGGCGCCAAGGTGGGTGCGTCGATGAGGGCGTAGCGGCGGTGGTCGATGGTGGAGAGGCGGGAAGGCGTGGCGGTTGAAGGCGTTGAAGGAGGAGCGCTATACTGTAGCCGGAGCGGTGCTAAAAAGGCGTGGCGGAGTTGATGGAGTTAGAGAGCGTGGCGGTTAAGGGGACGTGGCTGGTGGCGTCAAAGGGCGTAGCGGTTTGGAGGAGCGAGAAGACAAGGCGGTAGCGGTCGGCTCTGGAAGCGCGAGAAATTGTAGCGGTGGCAGTGCGGAAGATGGTAGCGGCCGGGGCAGGTGTAGCGTGCGAGGCGGGGTCTCAGTGTCCGTTGTGACAGCGAGTGAGACGGAGAGTGTGCGCGCGCGGAGAAGGAGACTTGCAAGAGAGGAGAGAGAGAGAGGAAGAAAGAGAGGGAGGGGGGAATAAATAGAAAGCGAGAGGAGGTCGCAGGCTTCTTCCAACATCATCCAACCAGTCACAGAAGGTAACTCTTTTCGGATGGACACAACAAAAGCGTGCAAACACGACACGAAACAGAACGAAGACGCTAAGCAACGAAGAGAACAGATGTCTAGCACATTTATTTTAACCATTAACGAAGAGAAGGGCTAGGAGGCGGGGAGAAGGAAGGGAGGGAGGATTGGGTGGAAAGGGGGAGAGAAGAAGAGGAAAAGGGGAAGAGCAGGAAGGAGAAGGAATAGAAGGAGACGGTCGGCAGTCCCAGAATGTTTCGTTCAGTTTCAAGGTTTTCTCCAATTTTTTGGAGGGAAATGAATCTACCGTTATGTTTTTGATAAATGTTTTGGTCTACTTAATTTCTTCTCTTTTTTCTTTTGTGTTCTTTCCTTTTTTCCTTTTGTTTTCTCTTCGCAGCTGTTCGATATCGGAAAAATCCATTCGCTGGGAGAGGTATGGAAAGAAACGTTTTACAACCTCCCTTAAATATCTGATTTTGTGAACGTGGTTCCTTATCAA